ATCATCAAAAGGCCTTCCCCGCAAAATGTGCCCTCCTCCATTTTTGAGGCAGTATGGATACCTCCGAGGAAGCATAGACAAGGCTGCCTTCTCTAATCCCCAGCTACTCAGACAATGGTATTGATACATCAGAGACTATGTATTCTTAGTTAGAGCTGGGAGATGAAGAGTCACTAGATTCGAAAAGTTATCTCTGCCTTCTTCCAACAGATGCTGCCAGACCTGCTGAGTTTTGCCAGCAATTTCTGTTTTGCGTTTGAGTGGGATTCAATTGTTATTTTACAGAAATGGTCAGGAGTGCTGGGGCAAGGATTTGGACTGCATCTATTATGCTGATGCCCAAAGTTCACAAAGCATGCCATGCTCACAAATGTATCTGAGTTTCATTTGATGGGTGTCTGTGTAATGACATCATTCTTTGAAGATAATCCTCAACTCCACCATCCTGCCTTTTCCCCATAACATTTGACTATAAATCTATCTATCTCAGCATGAATATAATTAATGAATAATTAATAATTAATTCAGGCCTCTGCTGTAAAGACTTTCACATAACAGAACCTGTCTGAAGGGTGTATCCTCGATTGAGTGTGGACTACTCCCCTTAGACTTTAAGGAATGGCTGTTTGCTTGCAGCAGATGCAGTGTGGCGTGGTTAAAGCATCGAAAGGGCCATCCAGGTAGGCATAAAGTGAGTGAGCAATAAGAGAGCAAACAGCAGCCCTGAAATGCATTCTGGCCCAGTCCATGAGTTGGCTGCCTGAACCTGTGTGCAATGTGTACTTGCAGACAAATATCAGACAAATTGACAACTCCTTGCATGCAATTTTTTTAAAAAGACCTGGCACTTTAGCGGTAACAAATGAAATGCAGATGCAGAGACAGAGGAAAGTGGTATTGACGACAATTATCAAAACTCTGTGATTGAATTTTTTTTGTATTTTGTGTCACCATTTATGTTGTGTAAATTGGGTAATTTGCAATAGCCAATGGCAGTACATGCTTTTTCTTTTCAAATTAAAAGGGGCTATTTGGAAAAATACTGACTGTTTTGCTGTAGTCATGTGGCCTCTGTCAATGCTGTAATTACTTTCATTTTAGTTTGTAGCAATCATTGAACACTTGAAACAAGCTGCACAGGTGGGTAAGTTGTTGGAGGGCGTTCTGAGGGAAAGGATTTACATGCAGTCGGAAAGGTAAGGACTGATCAGGAATAGTAACTTGGCTTTGTGCAGGGAAATATTGTCTCATAATTTGATTGAGTATTTTTTTGAAGAGGTGCCAGAGAAGATTGATGAATGCAGAATGGTAGACATTGTCCATATGGACTTTAGAAAGGCGTTCAACAAGGTACTATTGGCAAGGTTAGGTCACATGGAATCCAGGGGAAGCTAGCCAACTGGACACAAAATTGACTTGAAGGTTGGAGACTGATGGTGGTGGTAGAGGGTTGTTTTTCAGACTGGAGGCTTGAGACCAGCAGTGTGCCACAAGGAACGGGGCTGGGTCCACTGCTTTTCATCATTTATATAAATGATTTGGATGTGAATATAGGATTAGTAAGTTTTCAGATGACATCAAAATTGATGGTGTATTGCACAGTTAAGAAGGTCATCTCAGGGTACAGTGGGTCCTTGATCAGATGAGTCGATGAGCCGAGGAGTAGCAGATGGAGTGTATTTCAGATAAATGTGAATTGCTGCATTTTCATAAGGCAAACCAGGGAAGGAGTTATACAGTTAATGGTACAGTCCTGGGGAGTGTTGCTGAACAAAGAGACCTAGGGTTCCAGGTGCATAGTTCCTTGAAAGTGAAGTCGCAGATCGACAGAGTGGTGAAGAAGGCATTTGGAATGCGCACTTTCATTGGTTAGTGCACTGAATATGGGAGTCGGGACATCATGTTGCGGCTGTACAGGACAGTGGTGATGCCACTTTTAGAATACTGCGTGCAGTATTCCCTGCTATAGGAAGAATGCTATGAAACTTGAAAGGGTTCAAAAAAGATTAACAAGGATATTGCTGGGATTGAGGGTAAGAGCTATAGGGATTTGCTGAATAGGCTGGGGCTATATTCCCTAGAGAGCCAGAGGCTGAGGGATGACCTTATAGACGTTTATAAAATCCTGAGAGACATGGATAAAGTGAATAGCCGAGGTCTTTTTCCTAGAGAGTAGTGTTCAGACCTAGAGGATGTAGGTTTAAGGTGAGAGGGAAAAGATTTAAAGGGACCTAAGGGGCAAACATTTCATGCAGAGGGTAGTACATGTATGGAACGAGCTGCCAGAGATGGTGGTGGAGGCAGGTACAATTACAACTTTTAAAAGATGCCTGGATGGGTGCATGAATAGGAAGGATTTAGAGGGATATGGGCCAAAAACTGGTAAGTGGACTAGATCAGTTTAGGATGTCTGGTTGGCATAGATGAGTTAGATTGAAGGGTCTGTTTCCATGCTGTATAACTCTTTGACTCTGTGACTCTATTCAAACAGTATAATTGCCAAGGTGGATTTAAGAAAAAAGTTTGCAATGTCAAGTAAATATAACACACAAATGAACAATATTCCCAAACAACTATATCATTCATAAACTATTCCTGAAGCTCCTTTCAATTCTATTCATTCATCGGGCCTTTATTCTTCCATTATTTAAAATGTCTATACATCCAATCACCTTGTAAAGGTCATTGTAATATCTTGGCCTCACTTAACTAAAGAGCCTTTAAACTAATACTTCACTGATTTCCCAATTTTCAATTCTTTTTTGCAGCTTAATCAAGTGGTGGACACAATAAAAATGACAGGATAAATAATCCATTCATATATATATTATATATATATGTATATATATAGTGTTAATGAACTTAAGGGTTAGGAGATTGTATATTTTTAAAACAAAGCATCTTGTCATGATCTGCTAGAATTTTGTTGATCAGAAATATTGGGCTGAATCTTGCATTCTTTTGGCCGAGTGCAAGTTGCATCAAAGTCTTTTGTAGGGTTTGTTGCCATGAGGCCTAGCAAGTGTTCTTGTCCTCTTATCAAACTCACCTCACTAATTATCTACCAGGCCTCTATGGTGTCTCTCCCATCTGATTTATACCCCATCTTACCATGTGCCTTTCTGGAACAACTCACCAATTGGCATATACCTGCCAAAAGACCTGTGTCCCTTGCACCGTGCCACCTTCGAATGCACAAGTTACACCAGAACAAGCACTCTCAGTCTGGAGCAGCCCTGCACAGTTCCTGACATTCACTCCAGTCCTGGCAGGCAGTGGGAAATTGGCACTCTGCTTTGCGGGCAGGCTCCTGGAGGTCCTGCTGGAAGGGGTGGTGCAGAGGCAGGACTTCCTCCTCCCTCAGGACCAGCAGCGAATGTCACAACACCAGACAATACCAGCCTGGTCTGAGGCTGCCATGGGTCAATGTGCGAGTCTCACCAGTGTGGAGGAATGCATAGTACTGATGGAAGGTCAATGCCCTTTCCACACTCTGCCAGTGTAAGTGCCACTATCTTCTCTCCAGTACCACACACTCACTCTGTTGCAGCCTGCACCAGTCCCGTTCACTCGCTTTCACCCACCCTAAACAGTGACATCACTAACTCTGCGTACCCCTTGTGCTACCCATTCACTTGCTTGGGACACCTCCCCACTTGCACCAACAGTAATACCTGGTACACCCAATTTTATCTCCTGTAATACCTGTCCGTTTCTTATTCCAGGATGTAAATAGCCCACAGTAGGGAAGAAAGAATCCAGGTGGTTGGTGGGCTGACTTGCTTTCAGCTCTGCAACTCTTGTGCGGAAAGGAACCCGACTCTGACAGCCCCAAGCAAAGTGTGGCCTGGTACCAGAGGCTGCCCTGCACTTACTGTATTGGGACCTCCTGAGCGAAATCTATCCCCTTTGACTTCACTGAGACCTGTTGACAAACACATCAATCTTTTTGGCTTTGTTTCTGTGCTAAATGCTAAGGCAAGACGGAAGTTATATGAACTTGATATCCCTGACTGAAGGGGCACATCTCAAAAAGACAAGGCAAGACAATGCAGCACAGGGATGCTGTGACTATGTGGGTGGGCTCAGATTGAGCCCTGTGAGAGAAGGTCAAGTGCCTGGAGATGCAGCCTGGTCAAGTCCATGAGCTAAGTGTATGTCTCTGGCCTTGTTGCTGTACCATTGCAAGGATAGCGGCTGGTGCAGCCTGAGGTGCAGAAGCATCCTTTAAGTGCCATGAGGGTTCTGAGAGGTTGGCACATGTTTGATGCCGGTGACGGTGGGTGTGAGATGCATGTAGCAGGTGCCTCTACATTGTGCCCTGAGATGTTGGTGCCCAGTGCCCAACATGGACGTCCTTTGGAGCAAGGGGCAAGCTGAATCCACTGGGCATCTACTCTGGCTTCCTTGAGTTTTCCTGACTTTGAGCCCATTTGGCACATTTGCTAAGGTTGGGAGGCTGAGTGTTAATGATACAAGTTGCCCTGCTAACAAGTCTTTTAACAATTAATAATAATTGGCAATTGGCAATTTGCCATTACCTAGTGAGAATCTCGTCAAGCCTCTTGTGAAAAGCATAAAAGGCAGCATGACTGTCTCCTAACATTGAGAGTTTTTGAGGCTGCACTTGTCATCCAGTTCTGCCACACGCCTCGCCATAATCCATGTCACTCAGACCCCTATAAAATTCCACCCCCAAACTATGTTTCTTTCACCACAGATGCTGTCTGACCTGTTGAATATTTCCAGCGATTCCTAGTTCTTTTATAAGTCGTGGGTACAGTAGCTCTGAACTAGCACAGAGCTGTTCGCCAGAGTTAGAATACAGCACCACAGAGGAAAACTGTTTAACTAATTGCCAGAAATGTTACAATGTCGATGCCAATGCAATCTAATAATATTATACCTCAAGGAAAAAAAGCCACAATTATGTTTTACGCTTTTTATAGCGTCTCAGAAATAAATTTAGAAAAAATGTATTGTAGTTTATAGTTGCATACCTGAAGGATCACTCAGAATGGAGCCAAATGCACTGATGACAATGTTTGCTTTTAAGCGAATAACTTGGTCTTCATCTTCAATCCAATCTCCAACATCATTCTGCTCTGTACGAACAAACTCAATTGCAGAAATGTGCTGACCTTTCAGAATAATCCTTCTTGGTGACATGTAAGGCAAAAACTCACATCTTTCTTCTTTTGCTAGCTCCATCTAATAGACAATTACAAGAGGCAGAAACAACATTGGTAAGCATGGAACAACCTTGACCTTCATGCTAATATTAGAGTGTGGTGTTAAATGCATGCATCAATTTATAAAGACTGGACATCGTACAGAATAAGTTTATGGAAATGTACTGTAACTTATTCCGTGCCATTTTTCTTACTGTTGGCACTTAAGCTACCAAACAGTAGAATTTTCGGAGGAGGTGGGCCTGCTGGCTGGGGTGCCTATTTGCCAGCAACACCCTGCTCGTGAGTCATTTTTGGAGAGGCTAGTTCAAAGGCAGAATAGTCTAGCCACATTCAAGTTTGGGTATCCTTAAGGAAATTACAATTAATGCCAATGAACAGAGATCACCTGGAAATTTCCAGTTTAGTCAGCCTGTGGGCCTCTCATGACATTGGGTGCATGGCAGCTACCTGGAGCTGGCCATTGAACGATACACCAGGAAGGGCCCAGCATTCCAGGAAGACTTTGAGGCCCTTCCCCAACTATCTGGCCACAGTTACTGCCACAGGATGTCAATTGGATATTAAGCACACCCATGGCCTCAGACAGACCAATTTTGGCAAAATCAATGTCAGGTTAAGACTCACATTGAGCTCAGCACTGACATCCTGATCTGATATGCAAAATCCTGCCTATAATTTGTCAGAAAAGTTCTTATAAAGTTATGTGATGCCAGCATTATTGTTTTTAACAAAAACACCCAAGCTCCCCCTCTAGTGTCTGCATAGGTACACTCCAACCTCACATTAAATACACTGACATTTTCGAAAACAAAACCTTCCAAAATGTAACAAATATAATTTTAAAGAAAATCACGGTTCAGGTCTCCTATTCCTGAAAGGGGTATTGTAAACAGTCAGATGGCTGTTTTATCAAAGTCAGAACTTCTAAAATCAATACTGTTTTCAGTCCGTATGAATACCAGTAATGATGAGATTCTCGTAATGGTAGTATTTTCTTGAAAAAAAACACCTTCCTGGTAATTCGAGTTGTATTGGTTGAAATAATGCAGCAAATCAGAGTGCAGACAAATATTTTGTATGAGATTCTTCACAAGGGCATGATCACCAAAACTGATTTCATGAGGCTGGGCACAGCATTTCAAACAGCATCATCCTTCACTTCTGCCTGAGCCTTGTGATTTTTCTTCACAGCCTTATCGTTTTAGTTGGATGCGACAGCATGAGGTACTGTGATTCTTAATTTGTGATGGAGCATAGTTGTTGCAGTTTCTTCACCCATAGTGCAGTGAGGCATAGATGGTAGTTATTTACACAGGAATTGCCTGCACTATTACTACCAAGATAAAGTGTCCAACTGAGCAGTCTGAACACATTCCTTGATTGCTTTTATGAATCTCTGAGCCTCAGAGCTAGTGACTGGCCATTATGGTGCAATTTGATGGGTAGTGAAGTCTAAGTCACTCTGCAAATTACTGTGACTCTGAACTCAGCAATTGAGATTCATGTAGTAGTAGCTCTCACAGCTGGAAATTTGGTTACCCAACTTGCCAGAAATTAAGATAAATGATCAACTGTTAAAGTTATTTGCCTAATGGAAAGTATTCCTAAATATCAGGAGTCACTTTCTCTAATAAGGATAATCAGGTGGATCGGGTGTGTGGTTTTGTGTGAGAAGTTATCACTTGACAGTTGAGACATTTTTCATTAGCTTCTATTTTATTGTGTATGTAATTGTGTGTCTAATATATTTGTACATATTGTGCATAGGAACCATACTTGAATTCTGAGAACGTCTTTGGTTTTGATCATATTCTGATAATCAAGGAGAGCAAGAAAGCTTACTCCATCCATGAAGATGTCTTCATGCTCACCACAAGAAAAGATTGAAGGAGCAGAGGTCCATTTATTTCCATCTGGTATGAAAACTTCTCTATGGTTTGTCATGTTTCTGAATCAAATCCAGTCCAGCAACCAAGGAATCTCAGCTGTTTTTTTTTGCTCTGATAGGAAACCCATTTGTCCTTTATCTTCATTTCTTACATTTCCACCTTAAAGCTGCTTTCGTTCCTGAGGTCAGAAGATTATGCCAGCACTCCCAGAGATTTTCCCAGTAAAACTAATCTCAAGTATTCATTGAATACTCAATGAGAAAATAGAAAACTTTGGCAGCTGAAAAAGAAAGCAAACCAATTGTGCAAAGAAAGTGCGTACAGAACCTCAAAGACTTCAGTTGAAACACAGAAGGAGCATTTTCATAAAGGGGAAAATGTGACAAGCTTGAAAACAGATTTGCAATAGCCAGGAAAGCTGAGTGACTCAATAACATAATGTTACAGATCTGTTTGGTACTGAATAGAAATAGCAAGTACTGGCTTACACTTGACCACTTTGAATAAATACTGTATTACACATTGACCCTATTTCAGTTAAAATGAACATACACCATAGTGCAAAGGAGATTCATGGGGTTCAAAAACAGAAATTGCTGATAAAACTCAGCAAGTCTGGTGGCATCTGTAGACAGAAACCAAAGTTAATGTTTTGTGTCCAGTAACCTGAAACATTAACTTGTGGTTTTGCTCCACAAATGCCTGCCAGACCTGTTGAGCTTTTCTACCAATTTCTGTTTTTTGTTTCTGTTTAACAGATTCTGCAATTCTTTTGGTTTTCATGGGGTTCAATGATGCTTCTGTAAAAATATCAACATTAAGTTTCCCATGGGTACCAGGTACACTGAGGATGCACAATAAAAATCTGAAGGAAATCCAAGTAAAACTTTGGGATGCACTGACTGGGCTGTAGTTATCTCCACTCAGCTCCTGTAGATTTATTTTCTCCTGTATCCTTTGAAAGTGTAGACAGGTTTAACAACCCACAAAATCATGATCAAACAGGCAATGTTTTACGTCATCAACTCAGTCATGGTGAATACTTTCCTGTAGGTGTCAAAAGAAGCTCTTATAGCTTCACAAGATTTAAAATCCTTGGTGACACCTTGGTCAGCGCATAACAAATTTTCTAAAGTTCAGCTACTGTGATTTTGTATTCTCCCAACACTAACACATACATGCACAGCCACTGACATAAACAAGAATGGTGGCTAGAGTAAAAATGTGTAGGCCTTTGTCAGCAAGAGTCATGGAAGCAGTTAATTTGAAGATCCAGCATATTCAGGCATAAAAAATAAATGTGTACAATTTCCCATGAGTTTTTCAAATTCAAGGCTCAATCTACAATGTGCGAAGGAGACTCTAAGTAAGAAATGCAAACTTATGACTCCTACAAATTTATCAATACAGTCATATTCCTCCTTCTGTGTTTCCAAACTGTCCATTTTGTGAGAAGGGTGGCCCTAGCAAGTTGTACACTTCCTGCGAGTGACAAGGGAAGAGTGATAGTAAGAACGTTTCATAGTATTGTCAACAGTCTAATTATATTATTTACTGTGTGATTGGAACCAAATGGATATCACTAACAATGAGATTCTTGATTGGGGTTGTTAACCTGAGCCAATCAGGGAGCCCTGGGCAATAGATATTAACCTGGGCAATAGATATTATATTTCAGAATCTCCTGACTTGAGGACTGACTCCGAGCTGGCTGGCCACTGTCAGTATTCTGTGCATATGTAAATAAAGGGTGACTTGGTCACAGGACACCAGCCTCTGTGCAGTTATTTCATTTGCACACATGCAAATGAACGTACAAATTAGGAACTGAAGTAGGCTACTTCTCTCCTCAAGTATGCTCTGCCATTTAATAAAATCTGATTATTCCAAATTCCAACTTGCACTCTTTTGCTTAAATGACTTCCACTGCCATTCAAGGATGTGAGAAGGAAAAATAATCTCCTCATCTCTGTCTTAAATGGTGATCCTTTGTTCTGAAAAGGTGGCCTCTAGTTTTTGACTCTCGCACAAAAGGAAACACCCTTTCTACATTCACCCTGTCAAGGCCCCTCAGGATCATATGTGCTTGAATCAAGTCACCTGTTACTTTTCCAAACTCCAGCAGATACAAGCCTAGCCTGTCCAACAGTTCCTCGTAAGACAATGCATGCATTCCAGGTTTTAGTCCAGGAAACCTTCTCAGAACTGCTTCCAATAAATTTACATCCTCCCTTAATATTAGGACATCAATAAAGTACTCAGTGCTCCAGATGTTGTCTCACCAGCCTTATATATAATTGAGGCATAACCTCCGTACTTCTGTATTTATTTCCTCTTTCAAAAAATAGTAGCATTCCATTGGCTTTTCTAATTATTTACTGCATCTGCAACCAACCTTCTGCAACTCATGCACTAGGACACTCAATACTCCTGAAGCTTAGGAGTCAGCAATCTCTCACCACTTTATAATATGCCTCTTTTGTATTTTTTCTGCCAAAATGGACAATTTAGCATTTTAACACATTATACTCCATTTTCCAGATCTATGCTTAATCACTTAAACTATTTATATTGCTTCGTAACTTCATGTCTTCTTCAGAAGTACCTTACCTATCAATTTTTTATCATCAACAAAATTAGTAACTGCATCTTTGCTCCCTTTGTCCAAGTAATTTAGATAAATTGTAAACAGTAAAAGTATCAGCCCATGGTCCACTCTACCAACCAGAAAATGACACATTTATCACTACTATTTTTTCTGTTAGCTACCCAATCTTCTATCTATGCCAATATATTATCTCCACTGCATGAACTTTTATTTTCCTCAACAATTTTGATCTGGCATCTTATCAAATCTCTTCTGAAAGTCTACGGACTAGTTCCCTTTTAGCCACAGTGTATGTTACTGCCTCAAAGGACTTCAATAAATTTGTTGCTGTTCACTTTAAATCTTATCCAGCAGTAAAACTAAATAGATGAAAATATTGGAAATTGCAGCCTTTGGGCAAATGCTCTCAAATACAAATAATAAAGCAAGTTTTATACACAAACCTATTATCGAAAATACTGTTCCTCAAACAATTTGTCTCAGATCATTTCTTCATGAGCTTTATTCAATTACTACTTGTTTAAAATTGCTCACCTTCAGATGGAGGCTTATTGTACTTTGTTCTGAGACATGTTGATGTTAAGAAAAGATGAATTGTGTTACACATAATAAGATTGTATTGTATTTGTAATACAGTTGTAAAGATGAGGGCAACTTTTACAAATGGAATGGGAGTATTCCCTTTAAAAGCAAAATTTTGGGGTTGCATTGGATTGCAATGAACTATAAATATCATAAAAATGTATTATTTATTTATAAAACTTAGTTCTACATTTTTCACTTGCAATGTAATTTTAATCCCCTTCAATAGTAACATATAAGTCATTTCATTTTTACCTGTAGTTGGATAAGTTCCCGGGTCCCTGTGAACATCATGCCATGATTTGGGGCAAATGCAGGCAAATGGGACTAGATCAGTTTAGGAAAGCTGGTCGGTATGGACGAGTGGGCTGAAGGATCTGCTTCTGTGCTGTATGACTCTATGACCCTATAGGGCTTCCTATCAAGGTGCCAATTGACTCACCCTATTATTGTGTCTTCCTGAGCATGGTCAGAGAAGGACCACATCTTAATATTTTTCAGGAAAAGAATTGGTTCATGATTGACAAGTATTTTCTTCTTTTGATACCATACTAGTTGACCAAGTACTGAAGATGTTATGAATTGGTTTGGCAGGCAATAGTAAGGAAAATAGGCTACAAAATGGCAGCATTGTAGTATTGCTAGTATTATTGATTTTCCTCAATACTAATACTCTGAATACCTACCCTCACATTAATTCAGCAGTATTGTTTCATTTCATATAATTCATGGGGTGAGAGGGAGCGATAACACTAACAGCATTCGTGGAGATAATACACACGTTTAATAAAAAATTAATCAGACTACGCTTGAAGAACCATGTCCAGTTTTGATCCCACTTCCATTAAGAGGAGTTCAAGGGACAAACAGAACATCAGTATATCATAAATAAATGAACTATTAGGACAAGATAAGGGCAAACGAAAGGATTGACGTAAACACATGATTAGTGAAATATTAGCAAGTGGGTATTAAAAATTTTTTCTTGATGAATGAAGACATGTGGCAGCTGATTGCACATGAGGCAGTGTTATGAATGTGGGAGCCATGGCTAGTCCCATTGTATTATAAAGCCTTGTAACACAAAGATCTCACAGAGATGGTTTGGGAAGCAACTGCAGAAATCTCCAAGTCAAGCCCGGACCCAGGTTCTAGACAAATTTGAGCTCTTCTGGCAGATCCTCATGGAAATTATAGTAATGTTTGCCAAAACACCAGAGCAGTCTTACTGTCCCTGAATATAAGGATGCTAGGATGTACAAAACAGTTAATATGTGAGAAACTGCTTGCAATAGAAACTGTTCAGTCTAAATTCTATTCAAATCATGGTTCATTAATTTGTTTCTTGACTTTCTTGAGATCAAATATTTTACTTAATGCTTTAATTTAGATATTTCTCACTGTAAAGTTAAATATAGGACTACTGAGATTGTTCACATCAAACTTTTTATGACATTGACAGGTGTACGAAAATATAATTAAATATAAAATGGCCACGTTGATTTATTAGGGCAACACACTATTAGGGAAGCAGCCTTCATCTACTTGCTATCTTATAAAGACTTCTTGTAATATTAAATAAATGTTGGAAAAGGAATGAGGAATATTAAATTTGGAATACAGCTGTTATACAAACAACTGAATTCTGTAATGCTGAGCTTGAGGTATTGAGTGACAGGACGCACAACATAATAGATTGAAATCTTGCAATCTGTGTTCCATCAGGCAAGCCCAATTGTATTAAATCTGGAGTGTTAAAGCTTGTTGAATTTTACCTCCTCTGGGACAGCCCTGATATTGGTAAATCCTTTTCTAAAAACCACAAACACATGGCGAGCTCCACAACGTAATGCAGATGTAGCACAGTCAAAGGCAGTATCTCCAGCACCAAGTACAAGAACTGTGCCTTTTATTGATGGCAGACTAGACTGACAGGCACACATCCCTGTGAAGAAAAAAAGAGCATTTTCTTTGAAATATGCTATTTACTCTAGGCATCACAAAGTCACACCGAAGTATTTATAGAAATGTAAAATTGCACAACAGAAGGTCGAAATGAGACATATTACTATCACATTATTCTGTTTCATTGCAGGATGTTTTATTCTTTTTCGAATGTATTCATATACATAATTTCACACCCAGCACCCTCAGCAAAGAGACCTATTATTTTATCTTCTATGGATGACTGCAGGCAACATTGAATGGTTCAGATTTCAGCATCAGATTTCACATACATTACACTGAAGCAATCAAAACTCTCAAAATCTAAATAAATCAGAAAAATACTATTAGTCTGTGATCATAATGTCTTTTTACTATGCGATCATGCATTTAGTTAGCCCTAATGTATCGCAGAAGATGTCCTTAGACCATTAAAATGAATTTTTGAAACCAATTCTTTTATTAAATCCATACATCATTAAGATTAAGCAGAATATATTTCCAGACATAAAAAATAGATTTGTGGGAACAACTTAGACAAATCATAGGTTATAAGACTTTACAGCTTCTAATAGTTGTCAATACGCAAGTTCATATTATGCACGCTCCTGTTGTAAAATGAAGAAAAATGCATATACTGCAAAGACAAAATTCTAAATTGCTGATGATTCTTTTACAAAATGGGAGCATTTTATCACACAATAAACAAGTGTTATTATGCTTTCATTTAACATGAACTTACTTCATTTGTTGAAGAAAATTAATGGTGAACAGTCCTCCTGACAACACAAGCAAATTGCGCAATATTTTGAACAATAAAATTCTACCTGGTTTGCTAGCTTTTGCAACAAGAGGCAGGAACTCCTTGGATGTGTAGAAGCCATGTTCCACTGTTAAGCCTTCAAAGATGTGATCTCTCTTTGGCTCTGGTAAACCTGTTGAAACACAGATTGTTCCGTTAAATAATAATGCACCGAGAATGAGAATTGAATAGCCTTTTGCATTTTTAGAATGAACAGAATGATTTCATAATCCTCTTGCCTGAAAATGTTGTAAGTACCAATCGTCTCAGCATTCATGCAGACTATGTTCACCAATAAAGAGGTACTTTATCGAAAAATACTTCAATTTTTTGAAGACATGTGTTAAAAATCATAACAAAAGAACACATGCACTATTTTGATCACAATTATATATCCCTTAATATTTGTTGAAATACCATCTATTACATATGGGAAAGTAATTTAGAATCTGATATCACAATCTTACATGAGCTTTCTATAGAATACTTAAAGTACTTAGGTGTAATATTTTACAACTTTGAACAGAACTATTCAAAAATGGCACAGCCACAATGAAAACAAATTTGTAGAAAGTTTTCAAAAATTGACGATTGAATCATTTATCAAGGTGGCAGAGTCCTTGATAAAAAGTCTGTGAGTGTTAGTGTGGACGCGTTGGGCTGAATGGCTTGCTTCCACACTGTAGAGACTATGATTTTATTCTAAGATTCTATGATTTGTCTTAATAGCACTCCCAACTTTTTGGAATACTCAAGGCATATATGATCTTTAAATTCTGTATAAACCATGACTTTTATTTTTGTGCCTTTAAAAACTAAGGATTGCAATGATGAAGTAGTTTTGTTTTAAACAGAGATTTTCCAGGATGGCTGGATAAATGCATAGCAAGGAGTTCAATACCTATTGCGAACTCTGTTCCTGTGGCTACAGGCTCCTGTAATGTGCAGACAATCAGGACCTGAGGAAATGTTTACAATAGAAGTTGATTGGCTCACAGCTAACTGACAAGATTGGAACTGGAGACAATTTACAGAGGCACAGACACACAGAAAAAGAAAGATGCAGAAGAGGTAGCTGTTCTGTTCCCCAACAGAAGCTGCCCGTTTTCTGCAGTAACAAAAAATAATATAAATTTGAAGTCATCTTTCCTATCATAGCTGCTGTGAGCTGTGACGTTTGAACTGATAAATCAGAGACGTTTTCCAAGTGGATCAGTCACTCTGTCCTTCTATAAGCCAGTGGAAAATTCCAGGGAAAGAAAACTGAAGACCAGTGGCCTGGCTTGACAAAGTAGATCATCTTGATATTGGAATCGGGAAGCAAAATCACCTAACTGACTGTTTTTGTTTAGTCCCGGAACCTAATCTGTAACTTCCAACAACTTTGGTCTGAAAGTTAGGTCAATTGGGGTACTGAGCGTATATTAACATAAATTGCTACGACTCCAGAATAGTGGGGCCCAATTTATGACACTAGTGGGTCATGACAATACACTAAAATCTCCAACATCAAGGATGGTAAATACTTAGCAATAAAAATACTGCAATAAGGCTGTGAGCAAAGCCTGACAGCCTGGTGTAACACATATAAAGCCGGGCTTCATGTCTCACAGGGTTCTTACTGCAGAAGGACCCAAACTCAAATGCTGAGCTGTGGCTTAGAGGAAGAGGATTTTGCTCTTGTCAACTAGTTACGAATTATGCCCACCCCTGCCGTGCCCATCATTCATCACAGGAGACCAAACGTGAATGACTGGAGATGAACAGCCAAGGACTGCACAGGAGGGCATAAGCACTACAATGATTGCATAAGATTTGGGAAGATGAGTAGTAAGTGGTAACAAGGTAAGAGACCTCCAACTCCATACACAAGAGCGTGCCCATTGTCTTTGGTAAAACCGTCAGAGTGAATTTCCTGCCCTATCACTGAGATGTCATTCACACTCACATCCTGGGCCAAAATGACAACGAGGCATCACTGCCATCACAAAGATGACTCTGAACATTACTGTGCTGTCATCATGGCAGACCATTAATAATGATGAGGCCGGAAGCAGGAAAGAGCAGAATCATTCGATAGTGATAACGTCAGGTAGAGGTCACTCCTGCCCAGTGCGTGTTGTGACTTCACAACTATCATCATTTCTGGGCTTGACTATGCTGACTTGCCTTCTCCTGCAGGCACTAGAGTACAGAGAGTGGAATAAGTGATCTTCTCAGTGTGCAGAAATTCTACAGGACCAGCACTGTCACATTGTACCTGAACAGCATCACCAGTGCAGAAGCAAACACATCTCTGTGGAGCCAACGTGGGCCTTAGAATGTGAGAACAGGAAGAACAGGAGAATATGAGTGAGGCAGAGTCAGCCTTGAGTGCACGAGCTCCTCCATTACAAGAGGTGGCACCATTTTGAAAGAATTATATGTAGCACCATTCTGAAGAGATGCAGAAACAGCATACTGAAATGCACAGAAGGAGACACACTCTGTTTAGAGATGGACTGTTCAATGTTGTTGATGGCACAGGATAATCAGGGATACTGAGAGTGAACCAGAGTTAGCTTTGAGTGTATGAGTTTGTCCATTGAGAGAAGTGTCACCATCTAGGACGAAGCGTATGTAGTGTCATTCTGAATGGGTGCATAAACAGTATGCTTGTAATGGAGGATACTACCCACCCAGTCAAGATACATCTTACGGTAAGTATGTCAATGTTCAGTTGAGTGGAGGCTTGTGTAAGTAGGTTGCTCTGATTGGAGCTTTCACCTTTTGTGTCTAGATGGATAACAGGAGCCAGATCTTCACAGAATAAATGTTATCCTACAAAAAAATAGTTCTTAGGCCATCTGAGCATTCAGTGAATGAAAGTCTTTTCCATTTAGGAATCTGACATACTGGTTTGTCCGTGCCTGGTTGCTTTGCATGGGTGAGCCATGAGGGATATTCAGTAAAAGCTAAAGAGCTTAATGGCCCATTGCACGAGCCCATGGATGTAGTCCCCTGCCTTCAGAATAGTCAGCTGTAACATGCCTGATAACATAATCAGCCACTGACTGTGAGATACCAGCCAGATCTGCAGCTGATCCTCAATTTGATCCAAATGCATAAAAGTTCAGGGTGATGGTAACGATGGTGGCTGCAGGTAGGGGATTGGCTTGGTGCCCATGAGACATCAGGTCATTGTAAACCAAAGTACAAATGTCCAAGACTGTTTGGTTGCATTGGCAAAGTCCTTATGGCATTGGCACTCTGAGTTGCAGGAGAACTGGCACTTGGGGAGTACCTTCTTCCTTGAACCTTCTGCTTGCCTGGAAGGTGCCTGTGCTGAAGCTTTTCCTCCCTACTCTGTCCAATTTTAGAGTGGTCTATTCCCACCTTCAGTCGCTTACTGCTGGCTTTTGATGCTACTGCTTGCAATGATCATTTCTCCTCCCTGACTGTGCTGGCATCTCTAGTCCTGCTCAGATTCACACCAATGATCCAATGACTCTCATCAAAGACAATGCAGTAATAACTTCCAATGTCTTCAGCAAGATTCCTCTCTCAATGAATACTATCAAAATAGACCAGATCAATTGGCTGTGCATTACATTGCTAGTGGTATAATTTGTAGTATCATTGCTGCTGCAAAATGGCTGTCATGTTTGCCTATTCATTGTATGAAATGTTATGGGACATTTCAATTATGTCATAATGTATGTAAATATGAATATTTCTTTCTCATGCTGAGTATATCAAACCTTTTAGCAAAAATAAAAGCTGGATAGTGAATAAACCTACTGGACTTTCTGTTATATGAAATATATTTACAATTTGACACAATGGAATGAAGTGCTGCTGATATATTTTTAACATCTCGGTGTCATAGGCCTTCTTGTCAAGTGTTATTTTTATAATAGCTGTTTTACTCTTCATTACCACTTGCAGAAAATTTTAAGTTTTGGACAGTTAGCGGCAACTGGACGCTTCAGTAGTTCTATGTTGGAGCACTGTAACCTCCTATTATTAAAAAAAAATTATAACCACAATATTTAAAGCATTACAAGCCTACTTGGATGAAATTGCAAGGGTTAAAATCTGCACTTCTTCAACATTTAGTTTCAGATTTAGCTTCATAGATGGGAGAAATGTCATGATTATTTCAAACCAAATCTGAAACTCAAATCCTGACAACTACAGAGAGGGAAGACTCAAGGCAACATCTATGCATGCCCATATCACCTCTACAGAACTGGATGCTTATCACCATCAGGGATTAAATATAGACAGCTCTCCAGAATGGTCTTCCAAAGCTACATGTAAGATTAGACGCATGATGCACTATTGCACTGACAGTAATTGATGTGAACAAGTCTAAATCTGTGCTTCATACACAATGGTGTGGTTTGTGAACTTCATAAAGATGATTGATCAGCCCTTAAAGAAGGATATAAAAGCGTTGGAAGTAGTTGAGAGAAGGTTTACCGCACTAAGACCTGGAATCGGTCAGTTGTCTTATGTAGAAAGGTCGGATAGATTAAGCACGTATCTGCTGGAGTTTACAAGAGTAAGAAGGCAATTGATTGAAAAATAAGGTCTTGAGGGGTGGATGTGGAAAAGATATTTCCTCTTGTGGGAGAATGTTGTCGAGAGGTACTTTGAAAATAAGGGTCGTCCATTTGAAAAATGAATTAGATAATAATTTTTTGCTCAGAGGATCAACTCTATTCGTCAAAAGGCAGTGGAAGCGGTTTCTGAATATATTAAGGAAGAGGTGGACAGACACTTGTTAAGCAAAAGGGGTGGAAACTTATTAGGGTAGGCAGAATTGTGGAGTAATCAGATCAGCCATGATCTTACTGAATGGCGTCCCAAATCTAAGGAGCTGAGTGGCTCCTAATTTCTAAATTTGTTCTCCTACATTATTGATCAAACTGTAGCTTGTATCCATTAGTAATCAGATGCCAGAAGATGACACAAGACTAGATGCATAACAAAAAACAAAGGAAAAACTCACAATTAAAAATAATTAGCACATACTCTTTCACAGTTCTAATGCATATCATTTACAGTTGCAGTGCACTTCCCACTGATCAAAATTCTAAAATGTATTTCTACTTTGGCTTTCACAGAATGGTGCATAGCAACTTGGAG